GCATTGGATAAATGCTCCTGTTCCAAATAGAAGAAATTGGCCAAAACAAAGGGGCCCCATTTGTTTTAGCTTTATAACAAATTGGCCCCAAAGAGGCAAGTCCAAAACCCATCAGGGGAGCCAGTAAATCTTAAAGATTCTAAATTATCTTCTTTTATTCCATGTCTCACATCTGGGTCACAGTGATGCAAGAGGTGAGCTCCCACAGTCTTGGGCAGCTCCCTGTTGTGGTTTTGCAAGGTACAGCCTTCCTCCTTGCTGCTTTCATGGACTGGTGTTGAATGTCTGCAGCTATTCCAGGTATATGGTGCAAGCTGTCAGTGGATCTTCCATTCTGGGGTCTGCAGGACAGTGGTTCTCTTCTCCACTAGGCAATGCTAAACCCACATTTCCCTTCTGTACTGCCCTAGCAGAGGTTCTTCATGAGAGCTCTTCCCCTATAGAAAACTTCTGCTTAGACTTCAAGGAATTTCTATACATCCTCTGAAATCTAGGCAGAGGTTCCCAAACCTCAATTTTTACTACTGTCCACCCGCAGGCCCAACACCATGTGGAAGTCACCAAGGCTTGGGGCTTGCACCATTGAAGCCATGGCCTGAGCTGTACTATGGCCCCTTACAGCCACAACTGGAGCCAAAATAGCTGGGATGACCAGCACCATGTTACAAGGCTGCACAGAGCAGCAAGTCCCTGGGCCTAGCCCATGAAACCATTTTTCCTTAGGCTTCTAGGCCTATGATGAAAGGGGCTGCTGCCAAGACCTCTGACATGCCCTGGAGACATTTTCCCATTGTCTTGGCAATTATCATTGGGCTCCTGGTTACTTCTGCAAATTTCTGCAGCCAGCTTGAATTTCTACTGAGAAAATGGGCTTTTCTTTTCTATTGCATTACCAGGCTGCAAATTTCCCAAACTTTTGTGCTCTGTTTCTCTTTTAAACTTAAGTTCCAATTTCAAAGCATCTCTTTGTGAATACATACAATGGACTGCTTTTAAGAGCACCCAGGTCACATCTTCAATGATTTGTTGCTTAGAATTTTTTTCTGCCAGATATCCAAAATCATCTCTTTCAAGTTTAAAGTTCCACAGATTTCTAGAGCAGGGGGGAAATGCCACTAGTTTCTTTGCTTAGCAAGAATGACTGTTTGCTCCAGGTCCTAGTAAGCTTTTCATCTTCTTCTGAGACCACGTCAGCATGGGCTTTGTTGTTCATATCACTATGAGCATTTTGGCCAAAACTATTCAACAAGCCTCTAGGAAGTACCAGACTTTTCCGCCTCTTCCTGTCTTCTTTGGCATCTGCCAAATGGTTCCAGCCTCTGCCTGTTACCATGTTACAAAGTTGCTTCCACATTTTTAGGTATCTTTATAGCAGTATCCCACTCTCTGTGGTATCAATTGACAGTATTAGTCCGTTTTCATAGTACTATAAAGACATACATGTGACTGGGTAATTTATAAAGAAAGGATGTTTAATTGACTCACAGTTCTGCAGAGCTTGGGAAGCCTCAGGAAACTTACAGTCATAGTAGAAGGGGAACAGAGATGTCCTACATGGTGGCAGATGAAAGAGAGTGCTGAGTGAATGAGAAAGAGCCTCTAATATAATAAAACTATCAGATCTTGTGAGAACTCATTCACTATTACAAGAACAGCATGGGGGAAGCACCCCCATGATCCAATCAGCTTTTAGCACTTCTCTCCCTTGACACTTGGGGATCACAATTGGAGATGAGATCTGGGGGGAGACACAAAGCCCAACCATATCAGACAATAACTTAATTCTTCCAGCCAATTGCCAGTCAGAAGATGTTTGAATCTACCTATGGCCTGGAAGCCCCCCACCATAGCTGCCAGTTTTCTAGGCTTTTGGGACAGAACCAATGTACATTTTTACATGTATTGATTGATGTCTTGTGTCTTTCTAAATTGTATATAGCCAAGTCGTAGGCCAACAACCTTGGGTACATGTTCTCAAGATATCCTGAGGTCTGTGTCACAGGCCATCGGTCACTCGTGTTTGGTTTAGAATACATCTCTTTAAATATTTTACAGAATTTGACCCTTTTTGTCAACACTAGCACTTTGTACACTTCATCTACATTATCTAATTTGTGGACATATGATTGTTCATAGTATTCCTTTATAGTTCTTTCATTTTGTAAGGTCAATAGTGGTATTGTTCTTCCATTGCTGATTTTGCTAATTTGAATCTTCTCTCATTTTTAAAATTTTCTTTTGTTTCATTTTTGAGACAGAGTCTCACTCTGTCATCTAGCATGGAGTGCAGTAGTGTGATTTGGGCTCACTGCAGCCTCCGCCTCCTGGGTTCAAGTGATTCTCATGCCTCAGGCTCTTGAGTAGCTAGGACTAGAAGTACATGCCACCATGCCTAGCTAATTTTTGTATTTTTTGTGGAGATGGGGTTTTGCCATGTTTGCCAGCCTGGTGTTGAACTCCTGGCCTCAAGTGATCCATCTGTCTTTTAAAAAAATTTTTTTAATTATTTTATTTTTATTTTTTAATTTTCTTTTCTTTTTTTAGTTTTTGTGATCCATCTGTCTTATCCTCCCAAAGTACTTTCACTTTTTCTTGACTAGCCTAGTTAAAGATTTGTCAATTGTGTTGATTATTTTAAATGACCAATGGCTTTGTTGATTTTCTGTTTTTATTGCTATTCTCCATTTTATTTATTTTTGCTTTAATCTTTATCATTTCCTTTCTTTTTTTCTCAGCAGGAATTTGTTCTCTTGCATACAAACTTGGCTTTCCATAAACACAAGGGCAAAGAAATTCCTTTCTGACTTTCCTGCCCCCTTTAACAGTGTTACTGTCTGTCCACTTACACAGACTAGAAAACACATCTTCCTTTGGCCTTTCTGCTTCCTTGTCCCTTTTCTTCAAATCAGTTACCAAATCCTGTAGATTCTATCTTATAAACTTCTCCTGAGTTTATCACTTCCTCTTTATATGCTCTGCCACTGTGAGTGTCCTTGTCCTTACCACCCGAGCCTGTTCTATTGCAGCCCTTTCTTCTTGGGCCTGGCTTTTGCCGTGTGCAATTTTCACGCTGCTGTCATTGGCTGTTTTCTAAGTCACAGTCACAAACATAGCTGTGTCCACTTGTGGATTAAGACCCTTTAGTTGTCTTGCTGACAGGATAAAATGCGGATTCTCTGGACTGATGTACAGGGCCCTTCACAATCTGGCCTCTGTCTACCCTTTGATGCCCTCTGGTGGGAATGTCCTTTTCCTTCAGTTTTGCGGTATGTTAGTTTGTTCTTACACTACTGTAAAGAGCTACCTGAGACTGGGTAATTTATAAAGATTTAATTGACTCACAGTTCTGTAAGCTGTACAGGAGGCATGTCTGGGGAGGCCTCAGGAAATTTACAATCAAGCCAGCAGGTGAAAGGGGGAAGCCAACATGTCTTATATGCAGAACAGGAGAGAGAGTGAAGGGGGAGATGCTACACACTTTGAAAGAGCCAGATCTCATTAGAATTCTCTGATGAGACAGCACTTGGGGGATGATACTAAACCATTAGAAACCACCCCTGCGATCCAATCACCTCCCACCAGGCCCCCACCTCCAACACATGGGATCACAATTCAACATGAGATTTGGGTGAGGACACAGAGCCAAACCATATCAGGTGGACTCCACTTGAACCTTTGGAGTGCATATAACCTCTGCTATGAAGCTTCTCCAGCCAAGGTCAATAATCCCAAAGAGGCTTCACTTGCCTCTTGCATAGCGTGCCTCATATTGGGTTATTAGATTATAAAGAGGAAGAAGGTGGGGAAAGTCTATTTCATGGAGAGAGCATGGACTTTGGAATTAATTCAATCTGGGTTTAAATTTTGGCTCTACCATTTACCTGTTAGGTAATCCTGGACTCAACCTAAAGAGGCTGAGAACAGTACCCATTTTTCTATCCAGCTCCCATATAGTGTTGGAAGGACCGAATGACATAATGTGTAAAGGCATCCAGTAGTATCTGGTGGGGACTCAGTATATGGTGGTCTCCTAGTTTTACTTGCATCATCTGCTCTGAGGAAGCATCATTGCATTGCGTGATGGTCAAAAGCTGTAATTTTCTTGCTGAGAAATGGATCTGATGCATCTTGATTAGTGTCAGAACTAAAAACAGGCCACATGCTCAGCCAGTATAGATGATCTGTGGAAAGATAATTATAGATTAGGGCCACATGGGAACTGTCTGTGAGGGGAAGGAGGTTGGAGCAGAGGGCATTTGTGTCAGGAAACTGATAGTGCAATTACCATAAAGAGGTTTTCTCAGGTTGGATTCTTTTCATGTGGATGTACCTGAAACACCATCCCATGAAGTGTAATGATATCTTTAAGATATAAGGTACTTAAGGACAGGGAGATAATTATATCCTCTTGATTGTCCACATCCAAACATAGGGAGTAGGGCTTTCTCTTAAAGGAGTAAAACACTGGTGCACAAAGGGAAACTCACATCCTTTCTAAGAGCTGAGCAGAGTCCCATGTGATGTGTATGCTGGGGGCATGACCAAGCCTCAGGGATGGGGAGTGATAAGCTTCAGGCCTGGCAGCAGCAAGCCTATCATGTCTGAATTGAGTTTTCCCAAACATGAAGAGCCTGTGTTTGAGTCTCTGGAGATGCTTATATTGTGTAAGTGATCTAAATTGCATTGTAATTTGGGGGGCAAGGTTGGGAGGTACAGTTTGGATGCTTAACAGAGAAATGGTAATTAAGGTTCATAGAAATTCTACTGCCATCTTTTCTTCTTTCCTAAAGAAAATGGATCCCCCAAAACCTAAGTTATTGGGGAAAAATCTGTTTTGTGTTGATTTTCTTCTGAGCAAAATACATAATAATGTATTCATTTTTATTGCATTTCCTGCTTTGCTTTTAATGTAGCCCATCATCCTGGAAAGGGCAGATTAAAAATAAGCTTGGCCGGGCACGGCAGGACAGCGTGTTAATATCATCTTGTGCTCCTTCCAGGTGCAGTGTGATCTTCCTCGTCTCCCTCCGCAGCCAGCACTCTGCCTCCTGTATCCACCATGGTGTTTGGTGAGTTTTTCCGTCGCCCTGGACAAGACGAGGAACTTGTCAACCTGAATGTGGGGGGCTTTAAGCAGTCTGTTGACCAAAGCACCCTCCTGCGGTTTCCTCACACCAGACTGGGGAAGCTGCTCACTTGCCATTCTGAAGAGGCCATTCTGGAGCTGTGTGATGATTACAGTGTGGCCGATAAGGAGTACTACTTTGATCGGAATCCCTCCTTGTTCAGATATGTTTTGAATTTTTATTACACGGGGAAGCTGCATGTCATGGAGGAGCTGTGCGTGTTCTCTTTCTGCCAGGAGATTGAGTACTGGGGCATCAACGAGCTCTTCATCGATTCCTGCTGCAGCAATCGCTACCAGGAACGCAAGGAGGAAAACCACGAGAAGGACTGGGACCAGAAAAGCCATGATGTGAGTACTGACTCCTCGTTTGAAGAGTCATCTCTGTTTGAGAAAGAGCTGGAGAAATTTGACACACTGCGATTTGGCCAGCTCCGGAAGAAAATCTGGATTAGAATGGAGAACCCAGCGTACTGCCTGTCTGCTAAGCTTATAGCCATCTCCTCCTTGAGCGTGGTGCTGGCCTCCATCGTGGCCATGTGCGTTCACAGCATGTCAGAGTTTCAGAACGAGGATGGAGAGGTGGATGACCCAGTGCTGGAAGGAGTGGAGATCGCATGCATTGCTTGGTTCACCGGGGAGCTTGCTGTCCGGCTGGCTGCTGCTCCTTGTCAAAAGAAATTCTGGAAAAACCCTCTGAACATCATTGACTTTGTCTCCATTATTCCCTTCTATGCCACGTTGGCTGTAGACACCAAGGAGGAAGAGAGTGAAGATATTGAGAACATGGGCAAGGTGGTCCAGATCCTACGGCTTATGAGGATTTTCCGAATTCTAAAACTTGCTCGGCACTCGGTAGGACTTCGGTCTCTAGGTGCCACACTGAGACACAGCTACCATGAAGTTGGGCTTCTGCTTCTCTTCCTCTCTGTGGGCATTTCCATCTTCTCTGTGCTTATCTACTCTGTGGAGAAAGATGACCACACATCCAGCCTCACCAGCATCCCCATCTGCTGGTGGTGGGCCACCATCAGCATGACAACCGTGGGCTATGGAGACACCCACCCGGTCACCTTGGTGGGGAAGCTCATCGCCAGCACGTGCATCATCTGTGGCATATTGGTGGTGGCCCTTCCCATCACCATCATCTTCAACAAGTTTTCCAAGTACTACCAGAAGCAAAAGGACATTGATGTGGACCAGTGCACTGAAGATGCACCAGAGAAGTGTCATGAGCTACCTTACTTTAACATTAGGGATATTTATGCACAGCAGATGCACGCCTTCATTACCAGTTTCTCTTCTGTAGGCATTGTGGTGAGCGATCCTGACTCCACAGACGCGTCCAGCATTGAAGACAACGAGGACATTTGTAATACCATCTCCTTGGAGAATTGCACAGCAAAATGAGCAGGGGTGTTTGTGCCTGTTTCTCTTATCCTTTCCCAACATTAGGTTAATACAGCTTTATGAACCTCAATGGGTTTGTTAAAATCATTTAATTCTCAGGGTGTACCTTTCAGCCATAGTTGGACATTCATTGCTGAATTCTGAAATGATAGAATTGTCTTTATTTTTCTCTGTGAGGTCAATTAAATGCCTTGTTCTGAAATTTATTTTTTACAAGAGAGAATTGTAATATGGTTTTGGAATATAAGATAAACGGTATTGGGTGGGGTTTGTGGCTACAGCTTATGCATCATTTTGTGTTTGTCATTTACTCACATTGAGCTAACTTTAAATTACTGACAAGTAGAAATCAAAGGTCCAGCTGACTGAGACTACATGCATGTAAGATCCACAAAATGAGACAATGCATGTAAATTCATGTTCCTGTTCTAGACTTGGAAATTAGGAGCTTAATAAACTTCCTAATTCTGTATGGAGAATGTCTTAGTTGTATGTTTTTATGTTGAGTAACTACATTTTAGTATGTTCAGGATTGGTTTGGAAGAAAAATGTTCTTTTTGGAATATCAAGAGCTCAAGAACCTTTGTTTTCTTTTTTCCTTTATTTCTCACACTGTCGCTCAGGCTGGAGTGCAGTGGCGTGATCTCCACTCACTGCAACCTCCGCCTTCCAGATTCATGTGATTCTTCTGCTTCAGCCTCCTGAGTAGCTGGGATTACAGGTGTCTGCCACCACACCCAGCTAATTTTTTGGTATTTGTAGTAGAGACGAGGTTTTATTATGTTGGCCAGGCTGGTCTTGAACTCCTGACTTTGTGATCCGCTCACCTCGGCCTCCCAAAGTGCTGGGATTGCAGGCATGAGCCCCCACATGAGCCTGGCCCTTTCCTTTCTTTATGTTTTCGAATTTGGGGTATGTACCAAGCATATGCTAGCTCTTTTTTCAGTAGTCTTGATGGTAATTGGCAGATAGAAAAACATGTCCACGACTAAATTGTGCTGTCCAGCATAAATTGATTAAACATGTAGGTGTTTGAGACACACTCAAAATTGGTATATATGAATTTTTACAGCTGTTTCTTCAGTATATATTTTGAATTTTATAATAATTTATATTGCTAGGGCAAAATCTCATTACCTAAAAAATATTGCAGAGCAGAGTAAATCTACACATTCACAGGCTGGGATATTTTCAGTTGAATGGAAGAAGGGAGAAATGTTGTACAAACACACAGATGTGATTCATTATGACCAGAGGAGTGAAACTTAAATCTCTGGAAAAAGCTATGCCAGCAGCTATAAAATGAGCCGACACTTTCCAATAGCCGTAGAGATGGTAATTTCTGCATCTCATGTAGAAACTTCCCACAAAGAAAGAAGACATATATATGCATTTTCAGACAGTGGCAGAGCAATTCTATCCCGTGTGGAGAGAATTTAGCTAAAGTATTAATTTTGGCGATGTATGGAGACTCTCACGCATGCTGTCACGGGCTAGTTATGGGATTCTTTACCTGAAGTCTTTCCAATGGAAGAGCCACATGGATTTGTTATGTTTGTAGATGCATTTCATTGAAAGAAGGACGTTATCAGATACAGGTAACTCTTTGACCTATCACTCCTCTTAATGTTTCTGTGACTTTTGAAATGGATACAACTAAACAGGGCTTATGGCCACTTTTAAATCTGGAGGTTTATTACATGCATGTGTTACCCGCTGCTCATTAAAAAAATACTTTCTCCAAAATGCATTTTTGGTGTTGGAGGAAGTATAATTTTGAGGCACAGCAATAGAATTTGGAATCTTGTTTTATTAAAGGTTTCCTATTAGTGGTGAAGTAGCTGAAGACTGCTTATGTAGTAATAGTAACAGTACTAGTAATAATGAGAGCAGCAATAATAATAATAAGCTAACTGTATAATTGCATTTATTTATTGCAACATCTCTTGAAGCAAAACTTTGTTACTGTTTCCATTTTAAGATGAGGAAACTAAGGTTTTTCAGGGAAAGTGGTTTGTGTAAGTTCAAAAGGCAGCAATGGGGTAGGGCTCTGAACCCAGGAGGCTGAGCTGACTCTAGAGCCTGTGCTTTTCACTGCCCCCTGCCCTGCCGTGTTAGGGAGTGGATTTAAGGAAACATCAGAACAGAGTGCACCTGAAGAGAAAAAGAGCCACAAGCATTATCGGACTTTGATTTTTTTAGGATGTGAGCAGAAAGTGGGAAATGCTGGCTTGGGTATCTTTCCTTTCCTGATCTAGAAATCAGACACATTTGTTTACAGAGACAGTTTTCTAGAATGCCCCTGAAGCTGCAGCAGACTCTGAGGGTCTGTCCTTGAGGATACTGCATGGCAGACACAGCAGAAACTGTGATTCAGAGCTTCTGCTCAGAAATGTCTGCTCGCTGGTGCAAATAGAGTAAGGGGAGATTTGACAGTTGGCTCTGTGTAGGAACTGGGTTTCTGCCTGTGTCTCATAGAGAGCACCTTCTTGTGTGGCATGAGTGATCGTGCGGCTTCCCTTTGGGCTTGGCCGACTGCAACCCCTTCCCCCCAGTTCCTTCTCAGCCCGGTCCCTGCCATACTCTTCAGTTAGAATCCCTGCCACATCCCTAGGCCTCCATGCCACGAGTTGCAGTGCCTTGTGTTTATTTTAGCCTCTCTGAGCTTCCCCACCATCCACACAGGACTCCTCTTCTTCATTTTCACATGGTGACATGCTGGGTTCCTGCTTTCTCCAAGGCTTGAGTCAGTGGCTGAACGCACACTCGAGGGATGCTGGCCAGTCCACGAACTGAGGCACTGCCTGTTTCTGCGTTGATTGGTCCAGGGCATCGGGGTTTATTTGTGGGAGACCCGACCACTTCAGGGAGTTTTATTCTGTAATTTTTTCTAGTTTTTAGTCCTGTCCTGTGACTGCTTTTTCTCCTTCCAGTTCCTCAGATTTGTTTTCACCCACAGCAGTTCTTAATGGCAGTTTGGAAGGCCAGTGATTCCCCAGACACCTGTCCCAGGTTGATTGATTGATTTTGATTTTCTCTTTCCCTTCCCTCTACCCTGGAGATTGTTTCAGCTTCTGCTTGTTTTCATTCAGTGTTTCCTGAGTGCTCGCTCTGATGTACATTCAGGGCAGCCTCTTGGAATAGCAGACCGGGACTCCATCCTTATCCTCTGGGGGCCTTCAGGCCAACAGGAAACAGGGGTCAGTTGGCTTACTTCTTTCTCTGTTTGTGGAGAGGGAGAGCAAAGAGAGAAAAGCTTCCTTGGGGAGGTGACACCTGAGCTGTTCGGGGCGCTGGTCTGTGAGTCTGGTGAGTTGTTTAGCGTTAGGGATAAAACCCTCACTGATACTGAGCAGGTGGAGTTTGTTGCCTCCCAGATCCTACCTTTCAGCCATATACACTGCTCATCTCTGCCTCTGTGGCTTCTCTTTTCTCCCCTGTTGCTGACCACCCTACTTTAGTTAAAAGATCTTTCACCTTTAGGTGTGCTGATGCCTAATTTTTTTTTTTTTCCTGTGGAGGTTTAAATACGCTGATATAGGTAGATTTTGTGACTTAAGTTGCTCTTACTTTTTTTTTAATTGTTTGGTTTTGGTCTCTCAATTGCTTGTGTAGAGGCCTAAAATCTTCCTCAAGTGTTTATTTTATATTTAACTCAGGGTTTTAGGGAGACTTGCTATTGTTCCTGTCTAGATGGTTTTACTGGGCCATTGTCTTGGAGCTTCTATGCTGAGACCCCTATTCTATTTTACAGAGGCTGGTTAATGTTACTGGAGAAACTTTAACTAATGTTCAGAAATGGGTGATTTGTACCATATAGAACTGCAAATATCTCATTTTTTGATTGAGAATAGCAGCTGTTTCAATATGGTACAACCCCAATGGGGTTAGATCCCACATGCCTTGGTGTTGCCTTTGTGATAGTTATTGCAAGATCTGGTCATTTAAAAGTGTGTGGCACTACCCCCTGCACTGCCTCGCTTGCTCCTGCCTTTGCCATGTGACGTGTCTATTCCTGCTTTGCCTTCTGCCATAATTGTAAGCTTCCTGAGGCCTCCCTAGAAGCCAAGCAGATGCTTGCACCATGCTTCCTATAAAGCCTGTAGAACCATGAGCCAAGTAAACATCCTTTCTTGAGAAATAACCAGTCTCAGGCATCTCTTTATAGCAGTACAAGAATGGCTTAATACAGTAGGCCATGCAGCAACAGAGACCAAATCCAGACTAGAATACAGATATAACACCCTCCTTCCTTCCTTCTTATCCCCTCCCCCTTGCCCTCCCCCCTGCTTTCTTCCTCCTTCTTTTCCTCTCCTCCCCTCCCCTACCTCCCCACCTTTCCTTGACTTCCCCCTCCGGCGATGACCTCCTTTCCTTTATTCCTCCCTCACTCCTTCCTTTTATTATAAAAGAGTATAAATATATACAGAAGTGGCAAGAATAGTATCCTATACTTCCCTGTGACCATTACCAGCTTTAATAGTTATCAGCTCTTGAGAAACTTGTATCATCTGTGACTTACTTCCTCTTCTCCCAGTTTATTTTGAAGCAAGTCTCAATCATATCATTTAATCCATAATTATTCCAGAAAATATCTTTAAAAGAGCAATCTTTTTTCTAAAATGATTGCAATGCCATTAGTAAAACTAAGAATTAATGCTGACTTCTTCATGCTGTGAAATAGCCTTAGTATAGCATAGCCGTCACTTTCTACCTAGTTACTTGGCAGTTCTGAACACCTGGTCCGAGTAATCTATAAATGCTATGCTGCAGAGTCACAGGAATGTAGTGAGCCTCAAAAAGTAATTGAAATGATGTCTGCTTAGATTCTCAACTTAATTCTCAGTTTTTCAAGACCTCCGGAGGCTGAGAGAACACACCTTACAGCTTACATTTGACTTAAATGTTGCTAACGGCAGTTTCAAGTCCATTCGTCCTTATCTCACACTCACTGAGGGTAGAAGCAACTACTAACTGCCCTCTGAACAATGAATGTCTGAGTTCTTCAAGTTATTCGGTTTCCATTTAGAGCTCTCTTCTGCTGTAAAGAATCCCTGTTTTTAAGCTTTTACTCAGTTTTTTTTTTTTCCAGGAAAGTAGAAGAAAGAGAAAATATTTATTAGGTGCTACCCAATTTAATCAGCATCCAAGTGTGGCAAGTGTTGTAGTAGAGAGCTTAAACGACTTTTCCAAGAGCATTAGTTTCTGATTGCTGCTGTGACAAGTTATCACAAACGTGATGGCTGAAAAGATGAAAAATGTAACCTCTTCCAGTTCTGGAAGCCAGAAGTTTGAACTGAATCTTAAGGGCTAAATCTAAGGTGTTGGCAGGGCCGGTTTTGGGTGGAGGCTTTGTGGGTAGAATCTGGACCTTGCCTCCGCTCGCTCCTGATGGCTGCTGGCACTCCTTGAATTGTGGCCACATTATTCCAGCCTCCACCTCCATAATCTCATTGCCTTTTCTTCTATGTCACGTCTT